TGGGCTTGCTGTTGGCGTTCGCGAATCTCATAGCCTGGTGCTCCGGGCCGAGTGGGTCTGCGTCAACACAGGTCGTCCTTCTTGGGTTTGGTGCGATTGGATGCGCGGGCGTGCCAGCACGGTTCGCCGTGCGTTTGAGGGTGATATGATTGGTTGGATAGATGAGTGATGCGCCTGTTTGAGTCTAACTTTTAATCAAACAATTGTGGTCGAGAGAGGAACTGATCTCGGCCGTTAGGTTCACGGCCTGAGCTACAAGGCCGTTGATGGTGGTGCTGATGATGGTTTTTGGTGGTGCTCCGGCGCGTCGCTGGGTGGCGACGGTCGTATGATATATGGGATGAACGAAAGAGTAACAAGGATGGTGCTCTGGCACCTTGAAAATCAAGGGTCGTATGATATATTGATAAATGGATTTTTCTACAAACTGCCACTACTCCTAAGAAAATAAGTAAATGTATTGAAATGGTATTACAGGAATGTAAATGACAGAAAAATATAATCTGCTCCGTGGGAGGCTTGTGTTTTGGTGTTGAACCCTTTAAATGTAGTTGGAGCTTGCTATTTATAGAGAAGATCTTGAGGAGACAATGAAGCTGAAAATCTGCATGGTGAGGTTGATCAGAGCTAGTGGGCAGTAGAGTCGGCATTTGGGAACGTGAAGCATGGTGGTGTGACACCCATAAACCTCGGCCGCCGCCCTGGTGGTGGGCTTTGCATCTCGGGCCTTGGAGGAGCATTTAATGCCCGGGTCTGATGGTTGGTGGCTTAGCCTTACAAAATCATGGGATTTTCGCACCTAATCCTTGATTTTACTCACCATATTTGACTTCAATCACGTAACCTCTTTCTTGGCTCATTAAATGCTCCTACGTGGATCATGGGCTTTCTGCTGTGATCAGAGGCACTACTTCATTAAATGAAGGTGAGGCCATGATGCCACTTGATTTTCCCACTTTGGCCGTGTATTTGAGGAGTTCGTCCTCGGCCAATATTACCGAGGCCGTGATGGTGTTGACTTATAAGCTCACTTGTCTTTTAAATAAAGGGAGCGAACGATGACTTGGCCGTGGATAGATGCCGGGGCCGAGTTGTTGTTCCTTCGGCCAGCCTCCTTCGGTCAGCTTCCTTGGCCGAGGTTTATCAGGCACAAACACTTGCAAGCTTGATTCTTCTTGTCACGAGCTAAGTTACATCCTGGTGGTAAGTCCATATATACTTCTTCTTCTCTGTCTCCATGTAAGAATGCATTTTTTTACATCAAACTCATATAATGGCCAATCGAGATTTGCTGCTAGAGACAAAAGGACTCTGATAGTTTTAATCTTGGCTCCTGGGGCAAAGGTCTCTTGGTAGTCTATCCCATATCTCTATGTGTACCCCTTCGCCACCAATCTAGCTTTATATCTTTCAATGAATCCATCTGCTTTGAGTTTCACAGTATAAATCCATCTGCATCCCACTGTCTTCATGAGGTAATGGCATGAGTTCCCATGTGTCATTCTTCTGGAGAGCTCACATTTCTTCATTCATGGCTTCTTTCCATTTGAGGTCTTCTAGTGCTTCAGTTACATTGTTTGGGACAGATATGTCGGCCAACTGCTTCACAAAGTGTACCCGTGACTTTGATAATCTGTTGAGAGATACATAATTATTGATGAGATATTTCCCTTTCGCATTAAGATCTGCTTCGTAGTGGACTAGAGGTTTGCCATGGTTCTTCCTTTTTGGAATCTGATATGCTGACTTTGTGCCTTCTGAAATCAAATCATTATGGGATATTTCATTAATGTTATCAGTTTCAGGAAAAGATGTTACCTGAATGACGTCCTCAGCAGGTGATTGGTATGGTACTGGATCTGAAGAATTCTTCATAGCGGGCAAAAACTCCTCAATTTTCTCCTCCTGAGTTTGGCAGCAGGGAGACGACCGATTGTGGTCCTCTGGCGACCGTTCATTTTGAAGCTGATCAGACGTAGGAGGATTTTCGGGCAGAGTCTCTTGCGACCGGTCCCGTGCGTCATGCGACCAATCGTTTTCAGGTAGAAACGAATATGAAGGAAAAAATTCTGAAATTTGGGATGCGTGTTGGCATCGTGATGCTCCTCCTGTACAGTTGAAAAATATATATCTTGTTCCTGGAACACAACATCCATAGAAGTATAGACTTTTTGACTAGGAGGATGGTAACACCGGTACCCTTTCTGATGAGGGGCATAACCAATGAAAACACATTTTTCGGCGCGGGGATCCAATTTGCTACGTTGGTGATCATGTAAGTGGACAAAGACCACACAACCAAAAATCCGTGGTTCCAGGTTTTTGGTAGGAGGTATTTGGAGATGGTGGTGGAGTGTTTGAAGGGGGGTTTGGAAATTTAGGATACTAGAGGGAATCCGATTGATGAGGTATGCTGCAAAGACGACGGCTTCACCCCAAAAATATCGTGGCATATTAGCGCCAAAAAGAAAGGCATGAACTACTTCTAATAAGTGTCTGTTCTTTCTTTCAGCCACCTCATTCTGTTGGGGAGTGTAAGGACAAGAGTGTTGATGTATGATGCCATGATCTTGTAAGAACTTGGTAAGATCATGGTTGAGAAATTCTCCGCCATTGTCGGAACGGAGAACCTGAATTCTTGTATGAAATTGTGTCTCCACCATTTGATAGAACTGTTGAAACTTGGAACTGACTTCCCCTTTTGTTGTGAGAAGGGAAACCCTAGTCATGCATGTGCAATCATCAATAAACGTGACAAACCATCTAGCTCCCCCTGGAGTGGTAATTTTAGCCGGGCCCCAAACATCAGAATGAACAAGAGAAAAAGGAACCAAACTTTTATGTGAACTTAAGGGAAAAGGAACACGATGACTCTTGGCTAGTTCACAAATGTCACACTTAAAACTGGAAATATCTAAATTGGAAAATAAGGAAGGGAATAGCTTCTGTAAATATCCAAACGAAGCATGTCCAAGATGGCGATGCCATAACCATACTTCGAAAGTTTGCTTCTCAACACTCGTACCCCCAATTTTGTAAGCTTGACTGAGGCTGGCTTCACTGTCAGATGCCAAGTCCAGATAGTAGAGTTTGCCCCTCCTAGTACCACAACCAATCGTCTTGCTGCTGAGAATGTCCTGAAAAACACAATGAGTAGGCCAAAAGGTTACAGTGCAATTCAAAACCGTAGTAATTTGGGCAACATACAAGAGATTATGATGTAAGGATGGAACAATCAACACAAAATCCAAAGTGAGGGAGTCAGAGAGAGAGAGGGAACCCTTCCCAATTACTGGAGAGGGGGTACCATTGGCATTAGACACCACCGATTAAGAAGACGGTGTATGAGAGGTAATTTGTCCAGGATCAAAGGTCATGTGGTCTGTAGCTCCGGTGTCAATGACCCATGTGTGTTTCTTTGAAGAACTATGCAAAACACAACCTTGGGTACGTGTGGTGGCAAGTTGGAGGCGGTGGTTTGGGTAGATGAGACGATATCCATGGTAGCGGAATGAGTTAAGAATAAGAGAAAATATGTATTTTGGGTTTTGTGATAAGAGTATATGAGGATGTGGGTATGAAGATTTGAATCTGAATCTGTAAATATGAGGAATTTGATTTAGGGTTTGTGTTTGAAGAAATTTGATATGAGGATTTAGGGTTTGTGTTTGAAGAACTTTGATATGAGGATTTAGAGACAACCGAGGATCGATTGCTTTGATACCATGCTAAAATATGATATTTGGTTTGAATATGTTAGGTTGGTTTTTATTCTTCTCCATAAGGAGGTATATATAAGAGTTTACATGAGTGGTTTACAAGGAATTAGATACAGTAAAGGATTAAGAAAGTATCTCCTAATTATACAATGATTTGACAACTATATAAAATAGGAAAGTAAATCCCTTAATTAATCAAGGAAATAAATCTCCTTGATTAATTAGGAGACTCACTTCAACATCCCTCACCTCTCCATAACCAATAATCTCCAACCATCTATCAAGTGAGTACATAAATGCATCGTAGCATATAAACGCACATCTCTGGCCACCAAAGTGGCAAGTAATGTGCTCAAAGGGTCGAACTACCCGCCCATGACAAATGGAAGAAGTGATTTCGGCAATGGCTTCTGCCCCTTCAATCTTCAAAAAGATTACGTTTTTCTTGGTTCCATTTTCTTTATGGATTACTCCAGCCCATTGATTCTGAAGCATGCTTCCTGTGAATTCATAATTAACTCTCCACGAACCGATTGTTCGGCTCACGCTTGGTTCTCTCACAGCCATCTTGAAGAAAAGAAACAATCTTTTTTCATCAAGATAGAAGATTGAATAGTGATAAACAAAGAGTATTTTTAAGTAAGTAAAAATGAAGGCTTAGATGATGATGATCACCTTCAAAGCACGAAGAGGCACCACGAACTTCTGATACTTCTGAACTTTCTTTATGAACTTTCTTTCTGAACCTTCTGACTGTGTATTCAAGATACGCTAAACAAATAGTCTTTTTAACAAAGCCTGGCCAAAACGACGTCATTTTGGACCAGGGTTTTAATATAAAAAAAATAGACAAAAAAAGGGAAACTGCTGGGCCATTCGTGGGCTTCTAAAAGGGCTTCTAAAAATTAGATTAAATTGGATTGGATTGATCGATTTTAACGAATTGAATTGGATTTGCACAGCCCTAGCCTGAATAACACCATGGAATATGCACCCAAAATCTCTCCTCATAATTGAACTTATGCCAAATTTTCTATAATATATACCATGTGTTTGGTTTGGCAGGCTAGCCAAAGTTCGAAAAATATCAGATTCCGCATTTGGATTTTCTGAAACCGAACGGCCCAATAACGAAGCACCAAGCTAGCTGGATTGATACAACCAAGAAACGTCACTGTGAATCAAAATCAAAACCAACAAGAAAAACAACCACACGCCACAATTCTCACCAAAACACATTTGACATTACAAATCCTCTCTTCAAAATTCCTCTCTGAAACTATGTTGTCAAGAGCCTTAACAGCGAAGTCCAGAAAGAGCCTCAAAAATGAAGATCAAGACCCACTACAAGGCTACACCACCAGCTCGTTCAACGACTACGAAGACTGCATCGTAGGGTTCATGCAGGACCTGGCACTTGTCCGCTGCGGACACGACAGGAAGTGTCTTGGATGTGGGGAAGAGCTGTCCCACTTGACGCTGAGGGGTGTGCTGAGAGGTTCGGTGGGTGTGATAGGGGAGAGCAGGCTGGGGATGACTGAGAAGGTGGTGTTGTTGGGAGGAAAGGTTTGTGCTGTGAAGAGGTTTAGGAAAGTGAGCTCTGGGAGCCGTGAGTTTGGGAAGAGAATAGAGCACTTGGCTAAGGTGAGTGAGAAGAGTGAGTATCTTGTGCCTGTCATTGCTTATTTGTATGCTAAGAGGATCAAGTTTGTTCTCTCTGATTACTACCCCATGGGAAGCCTTGCTGACTTGCTTGTTGGTAAGTTTAAATTAAAGCATACCTTAATTATTCCTAAATATGTGTTACATATTTATTTTCAAGTGCTTCACATGAAGATCGAAACTGTTTTCATAACCTTAAAAAAACTGAATTTGTCTATTTCTGTCGAAGGCAATAATTAGAACTTTTAATCATCATAACGTAGTAGCAACTTTGGATATCCTCTGTTGATTTATTGATGATCTTGTACTTACCTATAAAATTAGGTTGTTTTGTTGAATCAATAAGCTTCAAACGCTATCTTTTTGGACATCAACACAAGATCAATACCAAAAAAATGAGTGGAGAATTATTTCGTTCGGTATTTCCAAACATGGACAATATCTTAGATTAAGGTTTGTTTGGAAATGCTTTTACCCATTCCAAAGACGTTTTTGCATACTCTCCATTTTCACACAGACCTTTTAAATCTCTTAAGATCAACTCTGATGTTGTCGACCTAAAATTATATTTTTCATTTTTGTGACACCTTGACATATAATTCAAATATGTTTTTTTTTCTTTTCTAGTCATATATGACTGAATTATTATTTTGGTTTCACCATAAAGGTGCTAGGCAACATGGTCACACAGCATTGGATTGGAACCAAAGGCTGACCATAGTTGTTCATATTGCACGAGCAATTGCATTCATCCATGAGCAATACCCTCCATATGACAAGAAGATGCAGATGAACGTGCATGGGAGCATTAGGGTATGCCATGTGATGGTGAACATCGACTTCTCAGCCTGCTTGTCCGATTATGGATTCACCCAATTGGCGGAGCCGGTCGAAATTACCAACACGTGGCAGGTGATGAAATCGCCATGCTGGCAGCAAATAACTCCTTACTGTGATGAACTGAGTCAGAAGAGTGACATTTACAACTTTGGGGTGATACTGCTGGACGTATTGGCAGGACCAAAGGGTTTGAAAATGACAAAAGGCAAGGAAAAGAAGGAAGGCCTGAAATTGGAAGGTGGTTCGGAGTTTTTTGAGTTTGCTGTGAAGGAAGGGAAAGAAAGAAGGCAAGTGTCTAGGGTTTTGGACATTGCTTTTGCATGTACAAGTGCCAAACCAGAGGCTAGGCCTTCTATAGAAGAGATATATTGTTATCTCTTGGAGATATTGTAAGTAGTGTTAGATTTAAATGATACTATAATGTTAAATTTTATGTAGTCAGCTTGTGTGTACAAGGGATCGATCGATACGATATGCATACATCCCTAAACCAAAATTCAGAAAAGAATAAGCCCTTTTATTCTTCTCATTTGTTTTCAGAGATGTTACCATGTTCTTCAAAATATGAACTTATTTAAGAGTTTTGATCATCTCTTCAATTGTAGCCTTCTGCGGTTGAAGACGAGCAGGGGAGAGACCTAATCTCTCAATCTTTTCACCTTTACTGACCAAATTAAAGAAAAGAAAATGATTTTCACCTAAATTGCAAGACTGAGTTTCACTAAACCAAGCTATAACAGTCAAACATAAGGTAATTTATGTGTAACATGGCACAGTCAAAGTACCTTTTGAATATTTACTCTTCTCTTCCATTCATATATATATAATTCATATAGAGAAGATGGAAAACCAACAACCCCACCCATCTCTCTTAAAAGACAAGTGAGGAATGTGGTCAGCTTGCTTCAAATTGGCCTTTGAAAGAGTGTCAGTCTTCAGTTTCTCACCTGGTCAAAGATCGAAGGAATTTGTAGAAACAATTTTAAACGTCCTCAAAAAATTAGTTCGAAATCTCAAGAAGTTTTATTCAAGATGTGTAAATAACTATATCTATGTTAATGTATATTAGCCTTTCTCGTAGTTATAAAGTTAAATAAAATGAGACTTCACGCAAAATCAATTGAAAATAAGAGAATAGCCCAACTCCTTAACCCTACGTAAAATCTCTTAACTCTCGGACATGAACGTTTTTTCACATCGTCGTCACAATCTATATGAGATTTTGCTTCAGTCTATAGGCCACAAGTAGATTTATGCATTAAAATTCAAAAGATAACTCGGTATACCATGTGACTGCCAGAGCTAACTCACTTCTCCGAGTACAGAGAAGTGGTCGGAGTTCCCTCCCTCTCTCTCTCTCTCTCTCTCTCTCTGTGGAAGAATCTCAAAAGGGTGTCTAGTGTCCACCCTACCCTTTCACACGCTCAATCATTGACACGTGGAGATCGATCAATTGGTGTTGACCCCTTCCACTTGCACTTGTTTGCACGTACGTACGATTCTGGCGAATGAGCAAGACAAGACTACATCGTTGCTGTCATGAACGTACATGTCTTTTTGTCTACTTGCATTTTACCATGGCTCTTTCTAACTTTTCTCTTCTCTTTTTTGGTATGAATTTTTCACTTCTCCGTAAAAGTGCTTTTTAGTTTTAATTTTTAAGTGATTATATGGAGAAGCACGTGTGAGGTGCTTATTCTCATAAATAATTCTTGCATATCCAGAATCACAACCAAACGAGTCCATATATCAATGAATCCGAAATCTCTGCTTAACCTTTGATAAATCAACAAGAGCACTGCCCACATACATTGCACTTGACAGTCTCAATGACTGACCAATTCCAACACATCATCTCATTTTGTGCTCGGTAGATCCTATGACTTTGAAAACTGATCTCAGATTGACTTACCCCATGAATTCCCCAATTCACATGGTGGGATTTTTGGCATTATTACTCTATCTTCTCGATTATTGTTTCCGGCCAATAATAAGAGCCATGTATGGGGCCGTTTTTTCATATCCACGTGATCATATAGATAAAGCTTCCCAATGTTCTTTCTAGATGATATAAATAAAGGGCATTTAATTTTTGTACAAACTTGAAGATTAGGCAGAGCAAATTTATTTATTTTTCCTTCTTCAATTTATGTGATCAACATTGGTTCATGCACCATTTACACACAGATTTTTTTTTTGGACACTTGTAGGGTTTCACTTTATTATATTTTAATGATTCGAACAATTTATTTTTTTATATCTGCAGCTTATTTTGTAAATATAAAACTATGTATTAGTGTGATTTATACATACAAATATTACGTGCACACGTGTATACACACGAAAGTAAAGGGCACACTGTTTGAGAAAGTAAAAGACCATACATTTGGGGTACTTGGTATCAAATGGTTAGACAAAAGTTTTGTTTGATAAGATAATTAATTGTATAATCAAAGTATTATTAGTTCCATCTTTGACTTCCAAGTCATTGCTATATTGGCAAAAAGATTAATTATAGAAGGACTAATCAGTTGGTTAATGGCTCTCTGATCCTCTTTTTTGTCACCATCGGTATCCAGATGACATATTCTAATATTGAATCCATTATTAATTATCTTAATGAAAAAAATTACTGCCTCTAAGAGCATCTCCAACCGATATATCAAAAGTGCCACATAGACATTTAACAGCTAGAAATAACATCTCACACACTCCAACTGATGTGTCAAAGCTGATGTGGAATGAAGGCTGGAGATTGAGATGTTATTTTTGACATCCCAAAAGCAAGATGTCAAATGAATATTTTATTATTTTTTCTTTTCTATTCTTTTTAATTAAAAATAAATCAACACTAAAATGTAATAAAATAATAATTTAATTTGACATATCGGGTGGAGTGTAAAGCTGTGTAAGATGTCAAATTGCTACATCAGCCATCAAATTTAAATTTGATGTTTGGTATTTGACATTTCCCATGGAGAATTAATAGGCACCACACACACACCTTCTTCTTGCTAGTCTATAATTAATACTTGCTAATAGAGAATGAGCGCTACTATCTATTTAAACTTTTGATATATAAAAAAACTAAAACTAAAACTAAAACCCAACCACTTGTTATCCATCCCAACCTGCCGGCCCTTGCCATGGACAAATCCTCCTTCCCTATCTATCTCTCTTTGTCTCTCTCTCTCTCTCTCTCTCTCTCTCTCTCTCTGTTTATATGTTATGTGCCGATCCAAACAACTCCCACTTGGTGGCACTAATTCATATACTAGAGGAAGAAAAGATGCATCTTCTCTCACAAACTTGGGTAAGACCATAAAAGGAAGAGAAGGAAAAAGAATCTGATTTGTTTGTTGATACTGATGCAGACCCTACCTTCCTACAGAGGCAAAATTCTAAGCGCAATTTGTTTTGACAGGTTTTCCTTTTTTGATATTTCTAGAGATTGTAGACTTTGAAGAGGATTTGTAGCCATAATTTTTATCTAGTCTGTCTTGCGGGAGTGGAAAAAGAAAGAGAGAGAAAATGAGGTGCTTTCAGGGAGCAGAGGGCGGTTGCCGCCTGCGGGGTTAGGGTGGCTGACCAGCTTGGGCGGGTGGGGGAGCTTTAGTTGAATTAATTTAATACTAACTTTATAAACACGAGAATTTGCTTGAATTAATAGTATTTTAAGAATAATGGTAGTTTGAAATATAAGATTGTGTTTTTTCAAATTTACATATTTGGTGGAAAGATAAGATTGATGAAAAAAATATGACAGGTGAATGGAAATAACAACATTCTAGAGAAATCGCAAATATTTTGTCAAAAAGAAAAAGTTGTTTAATAAGTGTTGACTTTTTGTACTGCAAGCGTGTGGCCGACATTTAAAATTGTATTTTTCAAACACTAGGCAAGAAACTTCCTAGTGTGAATGATGGCACTTCCTTTAATGTTGCCATAGAAGCATCCCCATTATTGTCTCCCAACCCAATAGATATTTTATATTCCAATTTCTTCCCCAGTGGATATTTGAGTTTGCAACTGTACTACATTTATGGGGCTCATGGAAACAGTTGGTGTCTCTAGTATTATTCTATATTGTATACTTTTTAAAAAGAATATAGCGGAATTTGAATTTTCTATCGTAATTTAGTCAAAATTATTCGTATTGTATTATAAGTGTGTAGACTTAAATCTTGTAATAGTATTGTCTTAAAAGTAGACTTGATAATGTAAAAAAAAATGTAGGCCTCTTGTGATGACTTCAAGTATAAATAAGCTGAGGCCACATTGTCCATGAGTCAATAACCCTAGAAGCAGAAAGAGCACAGAAAGTTAGAATTAGCCACAATGCAAGACACCAAAAGCGAATCATACTTTGTTTTCATGAACTACGATCCTCAATACGAACGCCTTCGAGCTAATCGGTAAGTATATATTGCTTCTCTTTGCTGCTCATCTTCTTCTCTTGTTTCTTCATAAGTATCCTTATCTGGAAATACATGCTTCTTTATACATAGAACAAAGAGAGGGACAAATGAGCTTGATTTGTATCTAAGCCGGAAGCATGACCAGTTGTTGGCAAGAACCCTTGAGCCAGGAAGCTACAAGAAGACATTGTCTCTGGTCATCGTTGATGGGTTTGCTGTGGAAATTTCTGATGACCAGGTGTGTGATTTAATTAATAATGTTTGTATTTCTGTTGTGGGTTATAATTAAAAACTGATTAATTCAGCTCTTTCTTTTCTTTATGTCAGGCCAGTGTGCTTAGATCTGCAAAAGAAGTGAGACTTGTGGAGAAAAATCAAGAGCTTGCTTAATGTACGTAGCAGACCGCAGATCAGAAGAGGCTCGGTGTTTCCAATATTGATTATGGGTTCGTATAATATGAGTGATTAGTTCTATGGCTGTAGGTTAATTTGGGTGTGATTATGGGTTAACTTCAAGATTAAGTGCTGGTAAAATCTAGGAAAATATGTGAACTTGACCAATTTAGGGATGCTATTATAAATAATCATCCTTGGATCCTCTCTCTCTCTCTCTCTCTGAATCATTGGTTTCTGGCATTTCATCCAGTCAGAGTTATGTGCTTTTGATATCCAGAAAAGTTCGAGATGTAAATCCATATTAATTTAATCCAAACAAGTTCATATTGTTCACATACATTTTTTTAAAATGTTGTTACTAATATTAGGCTCACAAAGTCACATGAAAGAAAAAGAATAATTTTGAATACCAAACAGAGGAGAAGGAAAGAGAGAGAGAGATTCCTGTCCTCCTATAATTTGAGGAGGGAGGGAGGGAGAGTGGTGGCCCTGGGCACAGTGGAGAAGACTAGCAGCAGCAGCAGCTACTTTATCTAGTTAAGGTTATAAAGGAAGCAGGGCAGATATGGTTGTAACTTC